TATATATATGAGGTTGCCGGGCCTCACCTAAAATCCAGTTGAATACGAGTATTCATTATACCAAACACGAGGTTTTGTGTAGATAATTATAGGCACTGAGGAAGTAATGTATAAAAACAAGTAACAAGCGGTGCCTGAAATGCTTGCATATTATGAGCTGTGCAGAAAAAAGACCTATTTGTTCAAATGCACGCCTGTGTCATCTCGATTGTTTGCCAAAATATTGTGTTGCTGTGTAGAGCCTAGCATACAGCAACTTTTAAATTTGATACCATAGACCAGCACACAATTCATTACGTAGATCTAGGTCAAGACTCGCTCATCATTGTAATATTATTATTGATACGTTGCCGTTTTTATCTGCGACGTTCCACGTCCAGACCAATGGTAGCACCGAATTCTGTCTCCTGAATGTTCATTCTGTACTTCTAATACTCACTACAATAATGAAGACAAACAGAAAACTATATTTAGAGCAAGGATAAGTCATTGCCTACTTAGTGTTTATTATTAATTTTTAAAAACAACTTTAAATAGTTTAAACAAGAGCAGAGTTATAGGGAGGGGGGGGAGGGGCTTTCGTGGCCTAGAGGTTAAGGCCAGTCATTCAATAGGTCTAGGTCCCGGGTTCGAATCCTGATAGCGACCGCAAATTATCTTCGCTAAAATGTTCTCCTTTCACAAACTTTCCTGCTCTCTAACAATATCATTCTGCCGACTGCTTTCGTCTCCACTTTCTGCCCCCACCCCCTCAACCCCCTTCCGTCCCCCTCTAGTCTCCTGACTCTTTCTGCCACCTTTCTACTGATACTTCTCGGCTCCTTTTCACTGCTGTCTTTCAGCCACACCCCTGTTCTTATGGTAGGTAAGATCTAACACCTTGACTTCTCGGACAAGAGCGAAAAATCTCGTGAACAAGTTACGCATGTTAAAAATCCATTGATGATCCTAAAATCGATAAGACTAAGCTTCGACCATCACCTGGGCAAACTTCAAAATTCCTACGAAACTGATTAATGTGTCTTGCGCGCTCATACAATCTTAGGCAGTTGCAAGCGCTGTAAAACACTTGCCAAAACAAACTTAACTTTAGGTCTCTTCCTCGGTTGTATTCAGTCAAACAAGAACTCTACGATCAACAGGCAAAGCAATCTATGTATACTTAAACTATAATCATTTACTGCAAGGGTGTTAATAGTTTAGATAGGAGCAGAGTTATAGGGGAGCTTGTGATATGAAACATTACAATACAGCATTGGCTGTAATCAAAGGTGAAATTAATAGCCTTCCGTGTTTATTTATTTTTCAGTTTGTATTCTATTTTATTTTATCATTTTTATTTATTTATTTATTTATGTATTTATTTATTTATTTCGGGGGTGGGGGTGGGATCTGAACTCGTTTGCTTGCATACATGTACTTAAGAAAAGCTTAAGATAGTTGACTGATTAGAAATATCAGTTACTTGTACAACAGTTTTTAACTGACTTTATAAGAATGGCTCGCATGTAAAAAGAACCGTGTTATCTTTTTTTTGAGGTTGGGGGAGGGGGAGGTATCTGCTTTGATTTCTACCTCTTAAAATGTCATGCTTATACTTTTTTCTGACAAGGTGTGGGTGCACTGGTAGACAAAAACGACTTTGAGATTGGATCGCCTCTAACCATCAGCTGTTCTGTGAAGACGGTGCCTCAGATACCGGACTTGGGGAACACCATAAGCAAGATCACATTGGACAGGACGGCCGGGGGCAAAGAGCAGCTGCTGGCCACCTATCATCCTACTAATCCTTTCCAGAAATACAAGGTGACTTTGTATTGGGTAACAATGTTAGGTTGTATAGGGTTATATGGGGTAACAAGGTGTGGTGTTTTTGGGTAACAAGGTGAAGTTGTATGGGGTTATTTGGGATAACAAGGTGATGTTATTTGGGGGTTATTTTGGGTAACAGGGTGGGGTTATTTGGGTTAACAAGGTGAAGTTGCATAGGGTAACGAGGTGAAGTAGTATGGGGTTATAGGTCGCAAGAAGGTAATGTTTTATGAGGTAACAAGGTGAGGTTGCATTGGGTTATATGGTGAAGTTGTATGAGGTTACGTGTGACAACAAGGTGAGGTTGTATGGGGTTGTATGGTGAGGTTGTATGTGGTTATATGTGGTAACAATGTGAGGATGTATCAGTTTGTATGTATGAAGAGCTCATCAACTCATTGAGGTCGTGCTACCAGGTGATCATTCCACAACACCTGTTTTGTCCCTTGCCCAATGAAACTAGCTGGGCCCCCTTTCGAAGAAAGGAATGATCGGTGCATTTACTTCAACTGAAAGTCATTGGCCTACTATACTTACACTCTACTGGAATGGAGCAATACATCTTGAGTGAAGCAAAAAATTAGAAGGTCTAGGTCTAGATCTATACTCTCAAAACAAAATGCGCCTCGCAAAATATCCCTTCCGCACCGGATTTTCTAAGATTACAGAGACAGAAGCGTCGGCCTACAAATGCGATCGACGAAATATAGAAATTTAGTTTTGTGCAGCAAAACCGTCTCAAAAT